CAAAACCATATGTCCACATAAAGACTTGTACTCAAATGTTTAAGGAGTATTATTCAAAATAGTCAAAAACTGAAAATAATCGAAACACCTATATACTGGCCAACAGTTGAAGTGTGTTACAGTAATCCCCCCTTACCTACAGCTTTACTTTCCAGTTTCAGTTACCCACAGTCAAACATGGTCTGAAAATGTTAAATGGAAAATTTCAGAAGAAACAATCTATGTTTTAAAATGAGTGCCATTCTGAGTAGCATGATGAAACCTCACACCATGCCACTCTGCCTCAGAGATGAATCATCCCTTTATCCACTGTATTCACACTGTCTACACTACCTGCTCGTTAGTCATTTAGTGGCCATCTCAAGTTATCAGATCAACTGGTACCATAGTGCTGGTGTTCAAGTAACCCTTATTTTACTTAATAATGGCTCAAAAGCTCAAGATTAATGAGGATGACAATTTGGATATGCCAAAGAGAAGCTGCAAAATAATTCAAGTGAAAAAGTGAAAGTTCTCAATTTAATAAGGAAAAAAAACTTTATGTTGAGTTTGCTAATATCTACTAGCAAAAAAAAAAAAAAAAAAAACTTTCTACTAGCAAAAAAAAAAATTTTTATGCTGAGTTTGCTACTATCTATTGCTAAGAAGAAATCTTCTATCCACGAACTGTGAATAGCATATTGTTCTGTTTTAACTACTCTGCACTTATTGGTAATATATTTGCATATTGTTTTAACTATTCTATTGTATTATTGTTTTTAATCTATTATTATACCCCTTTAACAAATTAAACTTTATCATAGGTATGCACCTTTATCATAGGTATATAGAAAAAAATATAGTGTTCAGCTAGTTCGGGCCACTGTAACCCTTGGCCTTGAGGCTTTCTAAAAAATAAAAACAAATAAAAAAAGAAAAAGAAAAAAATGTAGTGTTCAATACTACCTGAGATTTCAGGCATCCACTGGGGGTCTTGGAATGTATCCTGCACAGATAAGGGCAGAGGGGATTATCGTATACCCATACAAAGAAATATTATTCTAAAATATAAAGGAACAAAAAAAGGATATGCACTACACTATGAATGAATCCCAAAAACATTATGTTAAGTGAAAGAAGCCAAATACAAAGACTACACATTGTATGACTCCATTTATACAAAATGGCCAGAAAAAGCAAACATATGAAGACAAAACAAATCAGTGATTGCCTGAGGCTGAAGCTGGGAATAAGGGTTATCTGCAAACAGGCTAAGGGAATTTTGGAGGCAATGGAAATGTTCTAAAACTAGTTCAACCTGACAGTTTCATAACTCTATATATGTGTTAAAAATTATTGAATTATATACTCAAATAAATTTTTTGGTATCAGTTAAGTCAAAAGCTAATTTCGTTTTCTTTCTTTTTTTTTTTTTTGAGATGGGAGTCTTGCTGTCACCCAGGCTGGAGTCCAGTGGCAAAATAGCTCACTGCAACCTCCGCCTCCTGGGTTTAAGCAATTCTCCTGCCTCAACCTCCCAAGTAGCTGGGATTACAGGCACGCACCACCATGCCCAGCTAATGTTTTGTATTTTTAGTAGAGACGGGGTTTCACCATGTTGACCAGGATGGTCTCGATCTCTTGACCTCGTGATCCACCCGCCTCAGCCTCCCAAAGTGCTGGGATTACAGGCGTGAGCCACCGCGCCCGGCACGAAAAAAGTTTTTTAATTAAACAGGATTGAGTGCAGTGGCTCACGCCTGGAATCTCAGCACTCTGGGAGGCCAAAGCAGGAGGACTGCTTGAGCCGAGGAGTTTGAGACTAGCCTGGGCAACATGGTGAAATCCCACCTCTATAAAAAATAAAATAGGGCCGGGCGCGGTGGCTCAAGCCTGTAATCCCAGCACTTTGGGAGGCCGAGGCGGGTGGATCACGAGGTCAAGAGATCGAGACCATCCTGGTCAACATGGTGAAACCCCGTCTCAACTAAAAAAATACAAAAAAATTAGCTGGGCATGGTGGCACGTGCCTGTAATCCCAGCTACTAAGGAGGCTGAGGCAGGAGAAATGCCTGAACCCGGGAGGCGGAGGTTGCGGTGAGCCGAGATCGCGCCATTGCACTCCAGCCTGGGTAACAAGAGCGAAACTCCGTCTCAAAAAAAAAAATAAAATAAAATAGATTAAATTAAAAAAAAGAAAAAAAATGAAGTACTGACACATATTACAACATTGACATACTTCAAAAGCACTATGCCAAGTGAAAAAAGCTAGTCACAAAAGACCACATATACGGTTTCACTTACATAAAATGTCTGGAATAGTCAAATCTATAAAGACAGAAAGTCGATCAGTGGTTGCATAGGACTGGGAGTGCTGAGGGAAAATGAAGAGTGACTGCTAATGGATATGGAGCTCTTTTTGGGGATTTTTTTTTTTTTTTTTTAATGCTACTGGCAGGATCAACCAGGTATGGGGATGATTAAAATGCTCTAAAATTGATTACAGTGATATGTGCACAACTTTGAATAAACATTTGGCCCTCCATATCCATGACTTTTGAATCCATGGATTCAACCAATGAGGTGCAGAAAATACTCAAAAAAAAAAAATTATGTCTGTAAATGAGTATCTACAAACGTTTTTCCTGGTCATTATTCCCTAAACGATACGCAGTATGATTTACATAGCATGCACATTGCATTAGGTAGTATATTTAGAGATGATTTAAAGCATACAAGAGGATATACATAGTTTATATGCAAATACTACACGATTTTTATTTCTTCATTTTACCTAAGAGACTAGATTTTGCTCTGTCGCCCAGGCTGGTGTCTAAACTCTGGCCTCAAGAGATCCTCCCACCTCAGCCTCCTGAGTAACTGGGATTACAGGCACAAGCCACTGCACCCAACAACTATGCCATTTTATTTTAGAGACCTGAACATCCATAGATTCTGGTATCTGAGGAAGGCCCTAGAACCATTCCCCAAGAGATACTGATGGACAACTGTACTAAAAACCAGATTTGGTCATCTGCAAAATGGAGTAATTTTTAAAATAAATTAATAAACCCACCAAATTGTACACTTCAAACCGAACTGAACAGTATGTGAGTTATATCAGAGTGAAGCTGTTACCCTCTCCAAAAATAGTATACAACGTGAGCAAGTAAAGCCATTAACATTAGCAGATCCTACAGGCCACGGGTACTATTTTCTATCCTGTTTACTTAGGATAGAAAAATCCCAAAGTTTGCAAATATCTTACCAATAAGTGCAGAATAAAAGAGAACAAAAAAAAAAGAAAAGAAAAATCTCAAAGTTACAAATTCTTCCCAATCATATTCAAGCTGATTATTTTGTAAATGAGTATTTATGTCTGAAATGAGGGGCAATGATTAATCCAATGAGTTAAATCATTAACTTAAAAATAGGTTGACATAAATATTCAAATTTCAAATGTCCAGGATATTTCAATTTTCTATTTCATATGTTTACTAGATATTGTCTCAATAATATTTACATGAATGTACTCTGTAAACTGTTATGCTCTATAAAGTTTTATTATTCTTAAATTTCCTTAAATGTAATTTAATGGTTTCCAGTCTTATATAAGTCATTCTACCTTTTGAAGAAACTCTGAAACACAAATATCCAATCCTTTCTTAGTAAAGCATACACACTTCTGTGATTCTGGCACTGAATAAAGTGCATAATTTACTTCTGGATAGAGAATCACAGATAAAAAGGAAAGCAAATCTGATTACCAAACACACGATTACTGTTCTCTCAACACCGGATTAAAACTTAAACCAGTAAGCTGAAGTAAATGTTCATGAACATAAGAAAGTGGGGAATTTTTTAAGTTTTACAATGACAAGTCCCCCTCTTCCTCATTTAATTAAGTCCTAAGAACTTAAAGGCTATTCTGCATTGAATCTGGCTCGTAGAAAGAGTCCATCCAGGATGCTGGCAGAGGAAAAACATTAGAAACTGTGCGATCTGGATTATTATTGGTGTTATGGAATCTTTTTTCGGTCCTTTATTAACATAGAATAAAAATGCCCAAACGGAGCAAGAGAGAAGGTTCAGCTGCCCTGCTCACAAAGCTGCTGGGGTACAGACAGCATCTAGCCCTGGCAGAGCCCTCCCCGTCCTCCTCCGAAGCCACTAGACCATCCCGTCTCGCGGTCCCTGAGGGCCAGCTTCGCCAGGATCCAGAAGGCGGTCACTGGACGTGCATGTTGCAAGCTCGTTTTTGTTTTGTTTAAGAAACAGATTCTGATCCGAGCCAAACCTCCCTACCCCCTGGGAATAGGGGGAGGTGGCAGCAGGGTGCCGGCGTGGAGAGGCAGAATAAAAGAACGGCGAGTACAACCTGTCGTGCAAGCGAGCAGCGCCGGGAAGGAAAGGTAAGCAGCCGCGATCAGGCAAGACAGGGAAGGAAACTGGTGTCCGGCCCCCACCCCGCCACCCGGAGCGGCCGGAGCCTCCCAGGTCCCGCCCCGAGCTCGCCGCTCAGCCCCAGCGCCCGCCGCAGACTCCCGCCCTACACAGACCCTCCCAGGACGCGCTTCCTCCGGAGCCGGACCCCCGCCCTGGCCTCCCCGCGGGATGAGGCGGGTCAGTTTAGTCCGCTTCTCGGAAGAGGTGACTCGCGCAGAGATGTAAACACGGCGAGACCAGCTGCGCTCGGCCCATCCCCCCGCCGGGGTCCATAACCTCTTCCCTCAGCCCTGCCGCGCGCCCCGCGCTCCCCGCGAGCAGGCGCGCAGCGCGCCTTCCCCTTTCTCCAAGTCCCGCTCCGCGACCGTTGCCCGGGGACACTCAGTCCCCTTCCCCCAGCGCCCGGCCGGTGTCACCGCCACAGCCGCCGGAAAACCCCTCCGCAAACCCCGAAGCAAACAACACCAGCGCGGGGCGGGGGCGAGGAGGGAGGCGGCGGCACTCGGGACAGCTAGGCTTTTATCGCCGCGCCCTCCGCGCTCCTTCTCACCAGCCTCGGCTGCCCGCGCTCTTACCTGCTCTCCGCGTCGCCCAGGAAGACCGCGGCGTCCCTTTCCCTCTCAGCAGGGCCGCGGACTAGCCGCCGCCACCTATGTTGGCCGGGCGTCCGGAGGGAGCCGGGGCCTCCCCAGCAGCCAGAGCCGCTCCACAGGCAGAGGAGGAGACAAAACAGAGGCGCGCCGCCCCGCGCAGCGCCCCCCCGCCCGCGCCGCCCCACCGACCCCCAACCGCCAAGGCTACGGCGGCGACACAGAGCTCGGCGCGGGGAGCAATGGTGGCCCCCGCCCCGCTCCCGGCCCCCTCCCTCCACCCCCCGCCTCGGCTCCTCCCCCTCGGCCTCCAGCCGCCACCACCAGGACACTGGAGTCCGCCTCCCCCTCCCCGCCTGCTCTGAGCGCTCCTCCCCTCCCCACGCGACGGGGGGGGCCGGAGCGGCACCGCCAGTCACCGCAGCGCCTGTCAAACGCGGGCCAGCTATTTATACCCCGCGGGGCCCCGCCGCCCTCGGGACCCCACCAGCCCACCGAACCTGCCTCTTTTGCTCTCTTGAATCCCGCCCTCCTCTCTGCGCCCAACTTCTCCCAAACCCGCCTTCCCAGGTAAAGACGCTCGTCACTTGTCCGGCTACCTGCCCGGGGCTCCCCATCCCAGGGCTCCCCCATCCCGCTCTCCACTCCAGCCCGGGATTGGTGCAGGGGGCTCTGCCGCACGGGGCAGGCGTGTGAGTACGACGGGGCCGCGCGTGCACCTGCAGCGCCCGCCCGCTTCCCCCAGCCGGCCAGGACCGCACGCACACACCCTCGCCCCCCAGAGCCCCCGCGGGCCCCGCCGTCACCGCATCCCCAACTCAGGACTCCCACCCTTCTCCGGAGACGGCCCCACACTTGGGCAGTCTGACAGTTACGAGGGGGCGAGGTTTTGCAAAAACTCCTAGCCCGGTCCTTCCCGTCCCCACTTCTCAGCCTCGGCTGAGAGAAAGGTGGGGGTGCGGGCGGCAGGAGCGCGACGCCCGCCCCGCCCCGGCCGGTGACGCACGTGGCGCACCGCCCCGCCAGCCTCGCGCCCCTCGGCGCCGCCCGCTCCTCCTCCCCGCTCGCAGTCGCCGGGCGTAGTACACCCGCGACCCCGCCCCATTCCCAGAAATTACCACCCGCCCAACAGCCCGGCGGCGCGGCGGTTGGTGCCGGCGTTTGCTGGCGGTCGGGCGGCTGGGCCCAGCGCGCAGCTGCGGAGCGCGGCAGGCGGCCCTTTGGCGCTGCCCGGAGAACTGCGGGCACCCGCACCAAGCCTTTGTCGCTCCTCGCTCGGTCAGCAACGAAGAAGTAACTCAAGTCTGAGTGTTGTTGGTGCGAGAATGAGAGAGTGTTTTGGTCCAAGTGCCTACGAATTCGAAAACGAAAACCCAGCAGGAGCTGCACGCGTCTGGTTTCCACACTTTCACACAAAGGGGAGCCTTCGAGCAGGGCAGTCTCACGCGCCTTCAAGTGCACAAAAGCCAATGACATGGTGCCCTGGGTTGCCCTGCGTTGAAGCGTCTCTTTAATGGGCTTCCTTAGGCACAGTTATGCATACGGACGCCTCAGTCCATTCCGCCACCACCATTCCCAGCCGCGGCGTTTTCTTGTATTTGTTTCTTTAACAAAGAGCACTGCCTGTCCCGGTGCCCGCGGGGCTGATTTTGCTCCCCTCTCGGGCTCCTGCCGCCTCGCCGCAATGGACCTGGCACCTGGCGCGGTATTCACCAGCTCATTTCTTGGCTCCAGCGTTACTCTTTTTTTACGGCTTCACAATTGGTCTTGAGCAAAGAAGAAACCCCGAGGAATATAAGAGGTAGCTTGAAAGGGACGTAGGAACTGTGGAAATCATCCTAGAGTAACGCTCAAATGTCAGAAAGCTGCAAGAGGCTCCAGATTTAAATCCCTGAAGAGCCTAGTAATGTAATGATCTTTTTCTTGTCTTAATACTGTTGTTGCCTCTTTTCTTGAGAGTGAGTCTTCTTTCCTATCTTAAAAAGCAACTCTGGGCGGGGCGCGGTGGTTCACGCCTGTAATCCCAGCACTTTGGAAGGCCGAGGCTGGGAGTGGGGGGAATGCAGTGGGGAATTGCCTCAGGTCAGGAGTTCGAGACCACCCTGCCTAACAGCGTGAAACCCCCTCTCTACTAAAAATACAAAAATTCGCCTGGTGTGGTGGCACATGCCTGTAGTCCCAGCTATTAGAGAGACAGGAAAATCGCTTGAAACCAGGAGGAGGAGGTTGCAGTGAGCCGAGATTCCGACACTGCACTCCAGCCTGGGAGACAGACTCGCCTCAGAAACAAGCAAACAAACAAACAAACAAACAAACAAAAACTCTGAGGAACTCCTATTCTTAAGAAATTTTTACCCTTGAACACAGGGAAACCTGAAGAGCATAATGGGTAATCAAAGATCCTCTTTAACTCATGACAAAGTTGTGTGGACTCCTGAGTTCTAAATCATGAGACTATTGACACCCTTTTGAACTAAAGAATTTATAGGGCCGGGCGCGGTGGCTCACGCCTGTAATCCCAGCACTTTGGGAGGCCGAGGCAGGTGGATCACAAGGTCAAGAGATTGAGACCATTCTGGTCAACATGGTGAAACCCCGTCTCTACTAAAAATACAAAAAATCAGCTGGGCATGGTGGCACGTGCCTGTAATCCCAGCTACTCAGGAGGCTGAGGCAGGAGAATTGCCTGAACCCAGGAGGCGGAGGCTGCGGTGAGCCGAGATCGCGCCATTGCACTCCAGCCTGGGTAACGAGAGCGAAACTCCGTCTCAAAAAAAAAAAAAAAAAGAATTTATAAAACGTTGGTAACATTCAAATCTTTAATACACAATAAACAGAAAACTGCAAACATAGCACCCTTTCTAAGGGAGTCTTTTTATCTCATTTCTTGTAAAATAACTTACCCCTTATGGGAACCATTGCCACTTTGATGTTTGTAAGGAATTAATTAATAGTTGATGATATTGCATGTCCATAGCATAGCATACTAAGGTGCAGGCAAAGACAAAGCCTGATTCCTTTTCTTATGAACAGATACCACCTGCCAAGTCATATAATTTCTGTTGTCAGATACGTTGAAAAGAAATTCTTTACCACTGACAATTGTCAGTAAGCCGGAAAGTCCCAGGTGGGTAACAGTGGTAGATAGCATTATTGTTCCCAATTTTTCACTACTCCACACGTGCATGCCCTTTGAAATATGCCTTTGTAGTTCCTCTCATTAGAGATAGCATGTTTCTCCACCCTGTTCATGTTGGGCTTAGATCATTCCATTTGCTTTTGGCCAAAAAAGACAGGCAACAGTGACAGTGTGACAGTTCTGAGACTGGCCTCAAGAGGTATTTCATGTTTCTCCTTCCCTTTCTGGCACTCTTGTTTTTCACAATGTAAAGAACATACCTGGCTAGTTCGCTGGTCCAAGAAATATAAAGCAGGTCTGAAGCCACTCCCACCTTGGGGTCAGTAACCAAAAGAATAAAGAATTGTTGTTTCAAGCCGTGTTTTGCAGTAATAGTGTTTTGGAGTAGTTGGTTCCCAGAATTAGTGTTGTGATAGCTGACTGAAACAATAGCAGAGAGAGGAACCTGCTTCCTTGGTATTGGCCTGGCAGGTGCCTAGCCTGATGTCTCTCAGGCAGCTCTTTAGCTGTGGTTCTTAGACACATCCCTTACGGAGGCTGGCGGAGTAACGAGCTCAGAAATTTTACAGCAAGCTTGTCCAACCCAGGGCCTGCAGGTTGCATGTGGTCCTGGATGGCTTTGAATGCAGCCCAACACAAATTTGTAAACGTTCTTAAAATATTTTTTTTTTGGTCGGGCGCGGTGGCTCAAGCCTGTAATCCCAGCACTTTGGGAGGCCGAGGCGGGTGGATCACGAGGTCAAGAGATCAAGACCATCCTGGTCAACACGGGGAAACCCCATCTCTACTAAAAATACAAAAAAGTAGCTGGGCATGGTGGCGCGTGCCTGTAATCCCAGCTACTCAGGAGGCTGAGGCAGGAGAATTGCCTGAACCCAGGAGGCGGAGGTTGCAGTGCGCCGAGATCGCGCCATTGCACTCCAGCCTGGTAACAAGAGCGAAACTCTGTCCCAAAGAAAAAGAAAAAAAAAAAAAAATTTTTTTGTGTGTGATTTTTGTGTGTGTGTGATCTTTTTTTTTTTAGCTCATCAGCTATTGTTAGTGTTAGTGTGTTTAATGTGTGGCCCAAGATAATAATTCTTCCAGTGTGACCCTGGGAAGCCAAAAGATTGGACACCCCTGGTTTACAGCAAAGCATTCTAAAGAACAGAGGTCAGAAGGAAAAGTCTAGTGTGGCCAGTAGTCGTAGTAGCAAGCTAATGGTCATGGAATAGTAGATCTCTGTGTTGTAACTGGATTGCTTTTGCTTTGGTTTTTTAATGTTATTTTATATTTTATTTTTTCATTACACAAGTGATTCATTCATACATTCTCATCAATTTTCAAATAATTTAAAATAAACTTTTTAAAATCCAAGTTCCCTTTCCTCTCCATTTCTCTTCCCATTCCGCACTTAACCTTTCACACTTACCCAGCCATCCCCTACCTCTACTTTTCCACAGATAACCATAAATGAAAATTTAGCCTTTAAGCTTCCAGACCTTTTTCTGTGCATGTATGTACATATACATATATTTATATACTAAATATAAATAGAATTATATAATATGTGTATTAGACCTAATGCTGTCATACATCTTTTCTCTGTGTTATTTCTCCCTTTGTTTTTTTCAATATATAGGAAACTTGTTTTTTTAAATTATTTTATCCTTGGCTGGGTGCAGTGGCTCAAATCTGTAATCCCAGCACTTTGTGAGACCAAGGTGGGAGGATCACCTGAGCCCAGAAGTTTGAGACCAGCCTAGGCAGGAGGATCACATAGTTCGAGACCCCATCTCTACAAAAAATAATAATAAGTTAGCCAGGTGCGGTGGTGTGTATCTGTAGTCCCAGCTACCGAGGGGGTGGAGGCAGAAGGATCACATAAGTCCAGGAGTTTGAGGTTGCAGTAAGCTTTGCTCACATCACCTCATTGCAGCCTGAATGACAGAGTAAGATTCTGTCTCAAAAATAAATAAATAAAATTTCATTCTGCCTTCAATATGATAGACTAACCAAAGGAAGAGGTTTCCCTGTTTTTATATCAGAATGTTAGATGGGGCCGGGCGCGGTGGCTCAAGCCTGTAATCCCAGCACTTTGGGAGGCCGAGGCGGG